TCGAGTTCAGTGAATTTGTATTCAGACGGAACAAATCGATATACAGAAACAATAAAGTTAGTTTTCCACGATATTATATATATATATTTTTTATCTCGTTAACGATAAGGGTTCGTATTTCGGTCATCCAATAACTCTAAACTAACACACGCCACACAATGGACCGATTCTCGCCTTGTATTCGAGCAATCGTTGTTTTCGAACTAGTTCAATTATTGTACAGTTTTAGGTGGACGACAGTCAGTGTTATACCTCTCTCTACGACGATGCTTTGCCAGAATGTCCGTAGCTTTTATCGTATTTTTCCCCTCATTTTGTCACCCGATAAGGTATAAAATCCTTGTCGTTGCAAAAATAAGATCGGGTGAAAGTTCACGATGACCGACACGTGCCGAATCTGACCCAAACGTCTTTCGTCTAGCCCATAATATATATATATATATATCGTAAACACTATTCGCGTGGGACTCTATTATTATGATATTGATTGTATACCTAAGAAATGTCTTATACAATATGCATACCATATATTCAACGTCTTGTATTCTGTTCTCATCTGTATGACTGTATACTTACGATTAGTTACACACATTTATATTATATTTTCTAATTTTTTCTAATTTTTTTGATTGTAAACTAACTAAACTGTGCCATCTGTGTATACATTTAAACTTTCTATTATTATTTCATGAATTATACAATATCTGTTATATTTAAAACTGAAAATCCACGGCGGGAGAGGCTATCCAATGAACCCTCTATAGATTCAATAAGTTATTTAATTTATTTTAGCTTTTTTCAACTCTACCGTATTACTGTCTTCTGAGACGACGTGGATAGCTTTTGGAATGTATAAGTGTGGATAGATGGGAAAAAAGAGGTCACTGCAGATGATTAGTTTTATAATTTGGTGTATATTTAGTACAATAGTCATTAATAGTTGGAAGCTGCTCATCAGTTTCTATTTTAGAACTTTTGTATATCCACTGTAGCTAGTTGTTTGTGACATACAAAATGGTGTAGGATTGAAAGAAAACTGTTAGATGCATGCTTGAAATCGTTTTACAACTTAATCACCAAGATGATGCATATTATAAGATCAGGTGTGTCCTAGAGATTCATATAATGTTGATTTTGAATAGATTAAAAGACTAAATTTACATACAAAGAATCTGATAACTGGACGAGTATTGTGTACTTAACGTTTGGTTTTTAGGTGTTGATCACAAGTTAGCCGTTTGTTAAAAATAACGCTTCAATATTTCACCTGTGATGTAACATGAATGTAATATGAACATTGAAGTGAAGTTTTRTGGAGTTTTTTGATTTTCTGAAGGGTGAATAAACTTCTCCAGGTTTATTTTGATTCACCAATTGGTTTCCTAGATACTCATTATCGAGGTAATTTTGAAGGACAGTTAAAGCTATAATGGGGTCTATGTCAACTGTCAGAAGCCACACTGGTCGAATTGTCATCGTAAGTAGCTTTACTTGTATTTGCTATTTTGAGAGTATCCTGCAATTTAATATAATGTGTAGGTTATTGAACAAATCTAGAGGAAATATCGGTTTCTTGGGTGACTACTGGCTACTGTAGATAGCGATAAATAATAGAGGAAATCAGTGAGTTGCAAAATGTCAAATATGTCTTTAAGTAAAGAATAGTACATAATATTTAAACATTTTAAACGCACAATAAATAAACGTGTGATAAGAACAAACATATTATAATATTAGATATATTCATATTATGTCGATTTAAGAACTTGCATTACTCTTGAGCGTAAAAAAAAACAATTTTAAAACATATAATATTACTGTGTTTCATAGACCATGATGTTAACTGGTAAATTAAMWATCATATTTATTTAGTTAACTGAACAGCGTTTTTAGTGAAATGGTTGGTTAATATTATTAATAATGCTAATATTCACAGTYCTATASTGAAATAGTATGATTTGTTTAATTTTGATAAGTAATAATAATATTTTATYATACTTAGATCATTATTTATTTTTTCATTTAAATTCTGCGTGTTAAAAATAGCAAATATCGTTTATACATATAAATGCCCTACGGAATTATTTCAGTCTATCCGCTCATTAATATATTACAACAAAAAAGTATCGCACATTCTACAATCAATATAGTCCATATGGTATATTATAGTAAGTTGTAACTATTGTTTTACCATGACCACAATAGCTACCAAAACAAGWATGTTTAAGTGACAAAAGCGCATAAAATAAGATGCTTATGGTTACGCTACTCTCCATCATAATATAATATCTGTCGTTTAAATGCATTATTTATTTATTAATTATTAATATTTTTCGTTACTTTTATAGTCTTTACAATAATATGTTCGGATTTTTAACGTCCAGTCTTTGATAAAAACTGTACCATTAATATGTATATGTTTCCGAACTCTGTTTAACTTGTAATCATATTGATTACTAGCCATACCATCAACAAAATACATTATACATTAAAATTGCCTATGCCGCTGTAATTCTGTGTCGGTAAAATATTCAAGAATATTGTTATAGTTAAGACATTATGATAAATTTATTTTCGAAGATAACACGATTTGACTTACAAATTAATATTTAATCAGGTTCTACCAAGCTCCATTCCACTTAACGGCTTCAACCACATCAAATAAATATTTTACTACATGCCGAAAACTTGTTGAGCTCTAAATGCTTAAAATATAATATTATGTGCGATATAAAAAATAAACTGAACATTTGAACTTTTCTAAAAACCTTTAAAAGTATATTGGAATATATTTTATGAAATGTATATAGTATACTATTAACATGTATTGATAGTAATATAATAATTTATTTATAAATATAAGGTGAATAAGACGTACATATTTTATAGTTGTTAACACGCTTAAGTATAATATATTACATRTATACAGGTGGTTTAACTAACATCATATAATATTATGATTGTAAAACCTTAATTTATTTAGCTGAGTGAATAAATAAAATATGTAAGCAAAATATATGAACCTTTTTTTAATCCACTATAATATACTGACCTACATGTATATACCTACAATATTAATGTACAAATATGAAATAAATCGTATGTAATTTATGAATGCAAAAGAAAGTTTATAAACATAAAAATGTCATGACGATTTAATGCTAGAAATTATAAAACACTGCTATGAATATATTAAAATATAACTAGAATTTTATTGCRCTGTGTGGTAAATGAAACATGATCATTTAAGCTTTTGTGGATTACATACGAAATACATACATATTTATTAAAATATTATTTATTCAACACTAAAAAAGCAAAATCACAAGTTATTATTTAATGTTCACCAAATCATTATTCCACCCGAATATTGAGTTGAATAAAAAATGCGATTTGAAGTACACTTAATTTACTGAAAAATTAACGAATTATTAATTAATTTTTGTTAACGATTTTAAAATTTAAAAAAATATATTTTGTTCATGAATAATTTTTAAGAAAACGTCACGTTGGACACACATTCGTCTTAGACGGCTCAAAAGGCTATTTTAACTAATAAAGTATCAATTTGTTTGTATTTTATTTTAATTTTGATTCTTATTTTTATCTTAGTTTCTACATCAATTATTCTTATTGTTCTCCTTTGAAACAGATTGAATAAAACATAATAATAATAAAAAAAAAATGTGTTTGTAAATTACATCAAAATTAGAAAATCGATTTTGTCTTGCTTAAAAATTCTCGTTTTTCCTAATATTGAGAAAAGCATTRAGAATTTTTAATTTTTGCTTCCCAAAAGTTTATATTGTACTCTTATAAAAGAACGTACAAAACAAGGGCTTAGGTATATTATAAGAACGTAAATACAACATAATATGCACGGATATTTAAGTATTAAAGGAGTTCCATTCACAAGTATCTACACTCATTATTTCGATGTTTTAAATTTTTGTCTTTAATTATTGTGTATTACTTATACACTATACAGTTATATATATAAAAAAATTATTCTAAAAATCTATATTTTTAAGTAGTCATTAATTAGTCTATTATTTTAATATAAGAAAATTTAAATAAAACAAACTTAATAAGAATTTTTTTCATCTGCTAACGGTTTATTGATTATCATCGAATTCAAATTCAACATTTCAAAATTAAGTGCCCGTTCAATAATGATTTAAAATTGACACTTTTTGTGCAGCAAAGTGATTGCCTACTTGTCAGTTTTTTAAATTTATCATCTTGTATAATACATACATTTTTTTTTATTAGTTTTTTTTTTCGTGGATAAATTGTACTTATTTATTCACATCCAAATGAGTTTTTTTTWAAWTWWTWWTTGAGAATACTAAAGGATTTTAACTACATAGTATTATTTCGTTGAAAGTACATAATGAAAGTATATATCGTGCAATAATACTTTAATATTCACTATACATAAATTCTCTGAACAAAATAAATACTAATTTTTTGTCAACTCGTCAATACGTATAATACTGATATTATAACTTAAATTTAGTTTCGTTTTTCACAGTGTTTGCTTTCTATAAATGTTTTATCCGTCCTTTTTGTATTATTATTTTCTTCTTAAACTTCATTTGTCCCGTATAATTTATACTCCAGTGCTGCRAAATAATGATGAAAAATATGTTAAGCGGGTACCAGATATTACATTATAACATTTAGTTTCTCGGGAACAATTTTGACCCTAATTTGTTATTTTCTCCAGGTAGTGTTTATTATTATTATTTTTATTTTTTTGAAATTTGTATTACATTTCGCGATCAAGGTAATGGTAGTTTAAAACATAAATTACCCATTATATTCCAAAAACAAAAAAAAACAAAAACTGTCGGAAATATTGAACCGATATGTTTTATATACAATTTAAATATTATTATGAATGCGTTTTTACACGATAATAATACTATTTACTTACACTTGTTTTACCGTACAGTATATTAAAATTAAAAAAAAAAAATGTTTCCGTACATTTTCAGGCCAAGTGGACTTATGGACACAAGAATCGCAAGGATGCCGATGCAATCATGATTTACTCAGACAGGACTGTGCCTGCTGTGTACCACAGGGCGGATGTCAATGCGGGGCACTAGCGCTGAACCGTTGTGCGCAATGCGGTTTGGAGCAGCACTGCACGAACAGTACGTATTATATTTATGTGCATAATAATATGCTTGAATGTAATATAATTATATGTGTTTAATATTCAATAAAATTTTGTAAAAAAGGTTGGCGTGAAATATGCATTGATATTTTATATCATGATAGTACTATGTAATCCATTTCATTTTTTTTAAAGATAATGCAGCATTTATACACAAGATTTAATATATTATGTGTGCACACTATGCCAAAGCCGTATTATACTAATAACTACAAAATACGATACAATATTTTAGTTGTGATTAGGTTAGCAAACATACAAAAGTAAAAATGTGTGCGGTATC